TCCCTGGACTCTCCCTGGACTCTCCCTCCCTGGACTCTCCCTGGACTCTCCTCCCCCTGGACTCTCCCTGGACTCTCCCTGGACTCCTCCCCCTGGACTCCTCCTGGACTCTCCTCTCCCTGGACTCTCCCTGGACTCTCCTCCTGGACTCTCCCCTCCTGGACTCTCCTGGACTCTCCTGGACTCTCCCTGGACTCCTCCCTGGACTCTCCCTGGACTCTCCCTGGACTCTCCCTGGACTCCTCCTGGACTCCCCTGGACTCTCCCTGGACTCTCCCTGGACTCTCCTCCTGGACTCTCCCTGGACTCCCCTGGACTCCCTCCTGGACTCTCCCTGGACTCTCCTGGACTCTCCTCCCCTGGACTCTCCTGGACTCTCCCTGGGACTCTCCCTGGACTCTCTCCCTGGACTCTCCTGGACTCTCCCTGGACTCTCCCTGGACTCTCCCTGGACTCCCTCTCTCCTGGACTCTCCCTGGACTCTCCCTGGACTCCTCCCTGGACTCTCCCTGGACTCCCCTGGACTCTCCTGGACTATCCCTGGACTCTCCCTGGATCTCTGGACTCTCCCTGGACTCTCCCTGGACTCCTCCTGGACTCTCCCTGGACTCTCCCTGGACTCTCCCTGGACTCTCCCTGGACTCCCCTGGACTCCTCCTGGACTATCCCTGGACTCTCCCTGGACTCTCCCTGGACTCTCCCTGGACTCCTCCTGGACTCTCCCTGGACTCTCCTGGACTCCCCTCTCCCTGGACTCTCCCTGGACTCCTCCCTGGACTCTCCCTGGACTCTCCTCCCTGGACTCTCCCTGACTCCCCTGGACTCTCCCCTGGACTCTCCCTGGACTCTCCCTGGACTCCCCTGGACTCTCCCTGGACTCCTCCTGGACTCTCCTCTGGACTCTCCCTGGACTCTCTGACTCTCCCTGGACTCTCCTGGACTCTCCTGACCCCCTGGACTCTCCCCTGACCTGGACTCTCCCCGGACTCCTCCCTGGACTCTCCCTGGACTCCTCCTGGACTCTCCCTGGACTCCTCCTATCCCTGGACTCCTGGACTCTCCCTGGACTCTCCCTGGACTCTCCCTGGACTCTCCTGGACTCTCCTCCCCCTGGACTCTCCCTGGACTCTCCCTGGACTCTCCCTGGACTCCCCCTGGACTCTCCCTGAACTCTCCTGGACTCTCCCTGGACTCTCCTCCCCCTGGACTCTCCTGGACCCTCCCTGGACTCCTCCCCCTGGACTCTCCTGGACTCTCCCTGGACTCCTCCTGGACTCTCCCTGGACTCTCCCTGGACTCCTCCTGGACTCTCCCTGGACTCTCCCTGGACTCCTCCTGGACTATCCCTGGACTCTCCCTGGACTCTCCTCCCCCTGGACTCTCCCTGGACTCCTCCTGGACTCTCCCTGGACTCTCCCTGGACTCCTCCTGGACTATCCCTGGACTCTCCCTGGACTCCCCCTGGACTCTCCCTGGACTCCCCCTGGACTCTCCCTGAACTCTCGCTGGACTCTCCCTGGACTCTCCTCCCCCTGGACTCTCCCTGGACTCCCCCTGGACTCTCCTCCCCCTGGACTCTCCCTGGACTCCTCCTCCCCCTGGACTCTCCCTGGACTCTCCCTGGACTCCTCCTGGACTCTCCCTGGACTCTCCCTGGACTCTCCCCTGGACTCTCCCTGGACTCTCCCTGGACTCTCCTCCCCCTGGACTCTCCCTGGACTCTCCCTGGACTCTCCCTGGACTCTCCCTGGACTCTCCTCCCCCTGGACTCTCCCTGGACTCTCCCTGGACTCCTCCTGGACTCTCCCTGGACTCTCCCTGGACTCTCCCTGGACTCTCCCTGGACTCTCCCTGGACTCTCCCTGGACTCCTCCTGGACTATCCCTGGACTCTCCCTGGACTCTCCCTGGACTCTCCCTGGACTCTCCTCCCCCTGGCCTCTCCCTGGACTCCTCCTGGACTCTCCCTGGACTATCCCTGGACTCTCCCTGGACTCTCCCTGGACTCTCCCTGGACTCCTCCTGGACTCTCCCTGGACTCTCCCTGGACTCTCCCTGGACTCTCCCTGGACTCCCCCTGGACTCTCCCTGAACTCTCCCTGGACTCTGGGCGGCACGGTGGCTGAGTGGATAGCACTCTCGCCTCTCAGCAAGAAGGTCCTGGGTTCGAATCCCGGTCGGACCAGGGCCTTTCTGAGTGGAGTTTGCATGTTCTCCCCGTGTCTGCGTAGGTTTCCTCCGGGTACTCCGGTTTCCCCTACCACTAAAAATATGTCCAATAGTTCTGGCATGCGCCTCCTGTACTGGCCCCGCTCCCATCTCTGTGTGGAGTGAGAGACAAATGCCCAAAATTAACAATTGTAAACCGCTTTGAGACTCAGATCTGCAGTGAAAAGGCGGTATATAAATAAAAACTTACTTACTAACTTACTTACTTACTCTCCCTGGACTCTCCTCCCCCTGGACTCTCCCTGGACTCTCCCTGGACTCTCCCTGGACTCTCCCTGGACTCTCCCTGGACTCTCCCTGGACTCTCCCTGGACTCCTCCTGGACTCTCCCTGGACTCTCCCTGGACTCCTCCTGGACTCTCCCTGGACTCTCCCTGGACTCCTCCTGGACTCTCCCTGGACTCTCCCTGGACTCCTCCTGGACTCTCCCTGGACTCTCCCTGGACTCCTCCTGGACTCTCCCTGGACTCCTCCTGGACTCTCCCTGGACTCCTCCTGGACTCTCCCTGGACTCCTCCTGTACTCTCCCTGGACTCCTCCTGGACTCTCCCTGGACTCCTCCTGGACTCTCCCTGGACCCATTGGAGACTACAGCACAAAGTCAACAAAGGAGCGACCGTGTTTAAAGCTGGGGTCCTGAAATGTTCAAACCTCACAAAATAAACAGTAAATACTATCATTTAAGTAGTTCTTATCTCTCAAGACTGATGGGCTTTCTCTAGTTTTCACATCTGGGCCTTGTCTGACCTCTGTCACAGCTTCAGACCAGCAGAAAAAGAGAGGACCAAATGGTCAAATAGTGACTCTCAGGGTCCTTTCTTACTATATGCAAAATACAAAAGGTTTACCAATAACAAAAAGACAGCAGGTGTCATTTCACCAAATTTGACCTTCACAATTCTCTTTCTGTTGGAACAAACACATTGTAGACAACAAACACATTTAAGGCGCCAGTAGCTCAGTTGGTAGAGCGTTGGCCTTTGAGCCAGAAGGTTGTGGGTTCAAGCCCCGTTCAAGACTTTCACCATCGACTCCCACTGACTACTGTCCTTGGCAAGACACTTAACCTCTGGGAACACCAGCCACAGTGGGGCGGCTGCAGCTGTAAAGTGCCAAACTGTGGTTGTGTCCTTAGGCAAGACCCTTCACCTCATTGCCTAGAATGAGTCTGGTGTGTGTGTGAATGGTTGGTGGTGGTGGGAGGGGCCGATGGCGCATACTGGTTGCCTCGCTTCTGTCAGTGTGCCCCAGGGCAGCTGTGGCTACAGTAGTTTATCACCACCGTGTATGGAGTGAATGAATAATGACACATGTGAAGCGTCTTTGAGTGTCCAAAAAAGCTCTATATAAAACCGATGCATTATTATTATTGTATTATCAAGATTCTTTATGTATCACAGCTACAGGTTTGGGGACTGAACAAAACATCAGTAAGAATCAATTAAACATTTAATTATATATTGTTTTAAACGAAAGCTCAGATGAAGTAGTGAACTGGGGACATCTCGTGGTCGTGTCCTTCCTCCTGGGACTAAAGTGAGGAGCAGACTTCTGTGTTTACTCAGCCTTAGCTCCGTTCAGCTCAAATCTGATCCAGTCCAAGACTGAGAGGTCCTGAACCTGAACCGCATCCAGACGCAAAAGACCGAAAAGGAAGTGGTCTCTCTCTGGTCTCTCTCTGGTCTCTCTCTCTGGTCTCTCTCTCTGGTCTCTCTCTCTGGTCTCTCTCTGGTCTCTCTCTCTGGTCTCTCTCTGGTCTCTCTCTCTCTGGTCTCTCTCTGGTCTCTCTCTCTCTGGTCTCTCTCTGGTCTCTCTCTGGTCTCTCTCTCTGGTCTCTCTCTGGTCTCTCTCTGGTCTCTCTCTGGTCTCTCTCTCTGGTCTCTCTCTCTGGTCTCTCTCTCTGGTCTCTCTCTGGTCTCTCTCTGGTCTCTCTCTCTGGTCTCTCTCTCTGGTCTCTCTCTCTGGTCTCTCTCTCTCTGGTTTCTCTCTGGTCTCTCTCTCTGGTCTCTCTCTCTGGTCTCTCTCTCTGGTCTCTCTCTCTCTGGTCTCTCTCTCTGGTCTCTCTCTGGTCTCTCTCTCTGGTCTCTCTCTGGTCTCTCTCTGGTCTCTCTCTCTGGTCTCTCTCTCTGGTCTCTCTCTGGTCTCTCTCTGGTCTCTCTCTGGTCTCTCTCTCTGGTCTCTCTCTGGTCTCTCTCTCTCTGGTCTCTCTCTGGTCTCTCTCTCTCTGGTCTCTCTCTGGTCTCTCTCTGGTCTCTCTCTCTGGTCTCTCTCTGGTCTCTCTCTCTGGTCTCTCTCTCTGGTCTCTCTCTGGTCTCTCTCTGGTCTCTCTCTGGTCTCTCTCTCTGGTCTCTCTCTGGTCTCTCTCTCTCTGGTCTCTCTCTGGTCTCTCTCTCTCTGGTCTCTCTCTGGTCTCTCTCTGGTCTCTCTCTCTGGTCTCTCTCTGGTCTCTCTCTGGTCTCTCTCTCTGGTCTCTCTCTGGTCTCTCTCTTTGGTCTCTCTCTGTTCTCTCTCTGGTCCCTCTCTCTGGTCTCCCTCTGGTCTCTCTCTGGTCTCTCTCTCTGGTCTCTCTCTCTCTGGTCTCTCTCTGGTCTCTCTCTCTGGTCTCTCTCTCTGGTCTCTCTCTGGTCTCTCTCTCTCTGGTCTCTCTCTGGTCTCTCTCTCTGGTCTCTCTCTGGTCTCTCTCTCTCTGGTCTCTCTCTGGTCTCTCTCTGGTCTCTCTCTGGTCTCTCTCTCTCTGGTCTCTCTCTCTGGTCTCTCTCTGGTCTCTCTCTGGTCTCTCTCTGGTCTCTCTCTCTGGTCTCTCTCTCTGGTCTCTCTCTCTCTGGTCTCTCTCTGGTCTCTCTCTGGTCTCTCTCTCTGGTCTCTCTCTGGTCTCTCTCTCTGGTCTCTCTCTCTGGTCTCTCTCTCTGGTCTCTCTCTGGTCTCTCTCTGGTCTCTCTCTCTGGTCTCTCTCTGGTCTCTCTCTCTGGTCTCTCTCTGGTCTCTCTCTCTGGTCTCTCTCTGGTCTCTCTCTGGTCTCTCTCTCTCTGGTCTCTCTCTGGTCTCTCTCTGGTCTCTCTCTGGTCTCTCTCTCTCTGGTCTCTCTCTCTGGTCTCTCTCTGGTCTCTCTCTGGTCTCTCTCTGGTCTCTCTCTCTGGTCTCTCTCTCTGGTCTCTCTCTCTGGTCTCTCTCTCTGGTCTCTCTCTGGTCTCTCTCCCTGGTCTCTCTCTCTGGTCTCTCTCTCTGGTCTCTCTCTCTGGTCTCTCTCTCTGGTCTCTCTCTCTGGTCTCTCTCTCTGGTCTCTCTCTCTGGTCTCTCTCTGGTCTCTCTCTGGTCTCTCTCTCTGGTCTCTCTCTCTGGTCTCTCTCTCTGGTCTCTCTCTCTGGTCTCTCTCTCTCTGGTCTCTCTCTCTGGTCTCTCTCTCTGGTCTCTCTCTCTGGTCTCTCTCTGGTCTCTCTCTCTGGTCTCTCTCTCTGGTCTCTCTCTCTGGTCTCTCTCTGGTCTCTCTCTCTGGTCTCTCTCTCTGGTCTCTCTCTCTGGTCTCTCTCTCTGGTCTCTCTCCCTGGTCTCTCTCTGGTCTCTCTCTGGTCTCTCTCTGGTCTTTCTCTCTGGTCTCTCTCTCTGGTCTCTCTCTCTGGTCTCTCTCTGGTCTCTCTCTGGTCTCTCTCTGGTCTCTCTCTCTGGTCTCTCTCTGGTCTCTCTCTCTGGTCTCTCTCTGGTCTCTCTCTGGTCTCTCTCTCTGGTCTCTCTCTGGTCTCTCTCTGGTCTCTCTCTGGTCTCTCTCTCTGGTCTCTCTCTGGTCTCTCTCTCTGGTCTCTCTCTGTTCTCTCTCTGGTCCCTCTCTCTGGTCTCCCTCTGGTCTCTCTCTGGTCTCTCTCTCTGGTCTCTCTCTCTCTGGTCTCTCTCTGGTCTCTCTCTCTGGTCTCTCTCTCTGGTCTCTCTCTGGTCTCTCTCTGGTCTCTCTCTCTCTGGTCTCTCTCTGGTCTCTCTCTGGTCTCTCTCTCTGGTCTCTCTCTGGTCTCTCTCTGGTCTCTCTCTCTGGTCTCTCTCTGGTCTCTCTCTGGTCTCTCTCTGGTCTCTCTCTGGTCTCTCTCTCTGGTCTCTCTCTGGTCTCTCTCTGGTCTCTCTCTGGTCTCTCTCTCTCTGGTCTCTCTCTGGTCTCTCTCTCTGGTCTCTCTCTGGTCTCTCTCTCTCTGGTCTCTCTCTGGTCTCTCTCTCTCTGGTCTCTCTCTGGTCTCTCTCTCTGGTCTCTCTCTCTGGTCTCTCTCTGGTCTCTCTCTGGTCTCTCTCTGGTCTCTCTCTCTGGTCTCTCTCTGGTCTCTCTCTCTGGTCTCTCTCTGGTCTCTCTCTGGTCTCTCTCTCTGGTCTCTCTCTGGTCTCTCTCTGGTCTCTCTCTGGTCTCTCTCTGGTCTCTCTATCTGGTCTCTCTCTGGTCTCTCTCTCTGGTCTCTCTCTGTTCTCTCTCTGGTCCCTCTCTCTGGTCTCTCTCTGGTCTCTCTCTCTGGTCTCTCTCTGGTCTCTCTCTGGTCTCTCTCTCTGGTCTCTCTCTCTGGTCTCTCTCTGGTCTCTCTCTCTCTGGTCTCTCTCTGGTCTCTCTCTCTGGTCTCTCTCTGGTCTCTCTCTCTCTGGTCTCTCTCTGGTCTCTCTCTCTCTGGTCTCTCTCTGGTCTCTCTCTGGTCTCTCTCTCTCCTGGTCTCTCTCTCTGGTCTCTCTCTGGTCTCTCTCTGGTCTCTCTCTCTGGTCTCTCTCTCTGGTCTCTCTCTCTGGTCTCTCTCTGGTCTCTCTCTGGTCTCTCTCTCTGGTCTCTCTCTGGTCTCTCTCTGGTCTCTCTCTCTGGTCTCTCTCTCTGGTCTCTCTCTCTGGTCTCTCTCTCTGGTCTCTCTCTGGTCTCTCTCTGGTCTCTCTCTCTGGTCTCTCTCTCTGGTCTCTCTCTCTGGTCTCTCTCTCTGGTCTCTCTCTCTGGTCTCTCTCTGGTCTCTCTCTCTGGTCTCTCTCTGGTCTCTCTCTCTGGTCTCTCTCTCTGGTCTCTCTCTCTGGTCTCTCTCTCTGGTCTCTCTCTCTGGTCTCTCTCTCTGGTCTCTCTCTGGTCTCTCTCTGGTCTCTCTCTGGTCTCTCTCTCTGGTCTCTCTCTCTGGTCTCTCTCTCTGGGTCTCTCTCTCTCTGGTCTCTCTCTCTGGTCTCTCTCTCTGGTCTCTCTCTCTGGTCTCTCTCTGGTCTCTCTCTGGTCTCTCTCTCTCTGGTCTCTCTCTCTCTGGTCTCTCTCTGGTCTCTCTCTCTGGTCTCTCTCTCTGGT